GACCAAGGACAAGTCAGAGTGTGGCATTTCCATCAGAGAGCAAGGTTACATGGGGCTTGTTTGCCTGGCTGTGATGTGGGATCCTCATGAACATGGCCCATGCAACCTGTGAGAGTGGCTACAGCAGACTTTATTCAGCTGTTTGCCTGTGGTCTCTCTTACCTCCTCTAAACATTCCCTTCGACTGTCACAGTTGTGGAAATGGGGTCAAGCCTCACAGCCCCCAGCCTTAGTCTAACTGTGCTTTGGCAAAGAATATCTCCTGTTGTCCACAACAGCAATACTCTCACACATTTTCCCATGCTGCAGCCAAGCCCATGCCTTCCCTGCACTTGCTTGCGAGTGGGACAGCTCTTCAGCCCAGCTGTAGATCTGTTCTGCCTGAGTTGGCTCTGAGAAGCACTCTCCTCTCCCACAGCGGGCTTTGGGACATCGAGACAGGGCAGCAGAAGACTGTGTTCCTGGGACACACCGGAGACTGCATGAGCTTGGCCGTCTCCCCAGACTTCAAACTCTTCATCTCTGGGGCTTGCGATGCTACTGCCAAACTGTGGGACGTGCGGGAGGGCACCTGCCGTCAGACCTTCTCAGGGCACGAGTCTGATATCAATGCCATCAGCGTATGTATGCTGTCTGCATGGTGTTGGGAGGCAAGAAAAATGGAGGGTGGACCAGCTCTGAAACAGGGTCTTGGGACAAGGTTGAAAGAAACTCACAGTTGTGTGGGGAGCAAGGGTCTCAGGAGGCCTTGGTCCCATCACCCAGCCTGAAGCAGGGGGGGCCTGGGTTCAGTGAAATTTGGAGGCTGACTCTTCCTGGGCACTGGAGCACCAAAGCATCTAGGTCTGACTCAAAACACAGCCAGAGCACCGTGGTCTGTGGAGGCCAGCACGCTGACACAGGCGCTGGCAGATCTTTGCTCGTAGCAATTGTTTGAGCCCATGGTTCAGACATTTGGGGTCAAGTATCCCCCTCAGAGACAAGGATTCAAACCAGAGCCCTAGAGGTAGCAAGACGAGAAACAAGGCAGTTTAATCCTGGGGTGTTAACCAAATGAGTCTGCCAGCTTCCTGCAATTCCAGCTGCTTCAACCACCCTCTGCTGACTTCAGTTATCACAGCTTTTCTCACCTGTCTCATGGCTACTCTGCCACCTGTACAGTTTTCTGCCATACCTGATCCTGAGGAGCTTTTTTTTTTGCTCCTCAGAGCAAGGACACAGAAAAGAAGCGTGCGTGAGAAGGTTAGGGTATGAGGATCAAACAGATGAAGGCTATCACAGCTCTGAATCACGCCATACCCCATCTTGGGGGTAATGGGCAGACACTTGATAGGGCTGGAGTTAGAGACAATAATCCTTCTTCAAGCACAAGGATATCTTGCAATAGGTCTAGTCCCTAGGTCACTTGCTTTCTTAAGGTGGGTTTATGAGATCTTCAGAGAAGCCTCAGTCTCCTCCTTCAGCAGACTCAACTTTTAGGATCCAGAGTTTTGTCCCACTGAGTTTTCTTACCTCTGTGGCTTCCCGATGGTTGGCAGGGAGGCAAAGATTTGTAGAAAAGCTGCAAGGCACAGCCTGATTAAGATCTGGTGTGTGCCTTCCTCAGTTCTTCCCTAATGGTGAAGCCATCTGCACCGGCTCAGACGATGCCACCTGCCGTCTCTTTGACCTCCGGGCAGACCAGGAGCTCATAGTGTACTCACACGAGAGCATCATCTGTGGAATCACGTCAGTCGCGTTCTCCCGCAGCGGGCGCCTCGTGTTTGCTGGATATGATGACTTCAACTGCAACATCTGGGATTCCCTGAAAGCAGAACGTGTGGGTGAGTGGCTCCTGGAGGCCCTTCTTTATTCCCTGCAAGGTGTCCCGTCCCTACCAAGGCAAGGACAAGGCCTTTATTTTCCCTGAAAGGGACACATCCTGTACTGACTGAAACCTAACAAAGCTTTCTTGCACTAAAGCAGCACAACCGTAGCTAGTACAACTCTCTTTTGAGTAGAACTATTGCTTTTAATGTTAAGAAAGTCAAGCCTTTAAACAGCATTGTTTCAAGGGAGAAAAAGAGCATTAAGGTGTCTGTTAGCTATCGCTGCTCACAAGCACCAGTAATATTTCCCACTTTCTCATAATCTCTGCTGTTTGCCAGTTCCAGCAACTCACGGTGCCGCTTGACAGACAGACACCGAGCTGAGCATAGACTTGGGCTTCCATCCAATATGTCTGGATCCTAGGTTAGGATCTCTGGATAGGATTGCTATTTCTCAGTCTTATCAAGGACATCGTCCTTTCTTAGTCCTATCATCGCTCCAGGGTGAAAGCAAATATAAGGATTCAGCTAGCCAGACCTTCTTTTGTTGGTCCCAGAGCTGGTGATTATAATCCATGCACAAATGCTCTTCTCCATGTTTGTTCTTATGAGCCACATACACATTGTGCTTGGACAGAGCAACACACAGGGCTGTAGGTAGGCCAGTCTACAACGCGTGTCCTCGGTGTGGTCAATCCCTTCACCTCTCTGGGGCTCAACTTCTTTTCCTGAACACTCTTCTTTCTCCTTCATAGGAATCCTTTCTGGCCATGACAACAGAGTGAGCTGCTTGGGAGTGACCGCAGATGGCATGGCCGTTGCAACTGGATCCTGGGACAGCTTTCTCAAGATTTGGAACTGAGGACGGCAGCAGAGAGGAAAAGAGAAGTGGAAGCATGGCCCGCAGCCCAAGTCCAAACAGCATCAACAGCTGAGCACAACAGAAATGTCTACCTACCACTCCCGCTTGTCTCTAGACACAGGTCACTTGTAGGGGTCTCCCAGAGTGAAAGGGAAAGGAGAGGTTGGGGAAGGGAAGCTGGGGAGCAGGAGCAGAGGGAGCTGGGGAGCAGGAGCACACACATTGGATCTTCTCTCCACCTCTAAACAGGCCCAGCAGTTTCCAGCCTTGTGCAGGCTTGAAGACCTGCAAAACACTCTTTATTACATCTCAGGACTTTTCAGTGCAGTTCAGACACCCTGCATATTCCTTCAAACACCTCTATTCACATTGGCACCCATCCTTCAGAGAACCCCTCATCCAACACCACTATCCCAGATTTAACTCTGCCTTGCTTCTCTGTGCAGCTGTCCTATATCCCTGCAGACAGCCTCAGAGGTGTACCAAGTTTGAGATTTCTATCATGCAACATGAAACAAAAAGCTAGTGTAAATCAGGCTCATTTGCCATTGGGAAAGACTTAGCTGAAGTCTTGTCTATGCATAAATGGGGAAAGGTAGCCCTCAGATCTGCCAGAATACCAGGAAATATTATATTTATTCTTATTTACTGTCTGCTTCTTGCTGTTCCTTCTCTTTTTGCCTCACTCCTGCATTGTGTGGTGACCCTGTCTAACCAGTAGCCATCAGCCCGTTTTCAAGTCTGTTATAGATATTCATAGCCCAGGCAAATAAAGCAAGCTCACATAAGCACTGCAGGTTCTGTTCTTTCCAGCATTGCTATGAGCTACTGCAAACATAACTCTCCTCCTGTGCATACTGCTTGCTGACCCCATCCAGAGAACATCCCATCCACAGGCCTTGTTCTACCTCAGTCCCCAGGGAAGGGTGTTCCTCACCTACATCTTAACTGAGAAGAGGCTGTTAGTCCTGAGGCTTGCTGCCCTAGAGTTGGGAATGAGCTGAAAAAGGCAGCCTGGCAAACCTTGGCAATTTGAGCTCAGTTACAGGACACAGACATTACATTTAGACCCCATTCCACCTTTTGGCTCCAAGCAACTTCCTGGAGTTCAAGGCCCTGCTAGGGAGAGTTGAAGGCCCTGGTGAGGCGACATCTGGAATATCGTGTCCAGTTCTGGGCCCCTCAGCTCAAGAGAGACAGGGAACTGCTTGAGAGAGTCCAGTGCAGAGCCACAGAGATGATGAAGGGAGTGGAACATCTCCCTTATGAGGAAAGGAGCCAGGACTCTTGAGCTTGGAGGAGACTGAGGGGTGACCTCATTCATGTTTACAAATACGTTAAGGGTGAGTGTCAGAAGGACAGAGCCAGGCTCTTTTCAGTGATGTCCAATGTTATGACAAGGGGCAAGAGGTGCAAGCTGGAACACAAGAGGTTTCACAAAAACATTAGAAAAAACTTCTTTACTGTGAAGATGATGGAGCACTGGCACAGGCTGCCCAGGGAGGTTGTGGAGTCTCCTTCCCTGGACATTCAAAACCCGCTTGGGCACGTTCCTGTGTGACCTACTGTAGGGGATCCTGCTCTGGCAAGGGGGTTGGACTAGATGATCTTTTGAGGTCCCTTCCAAATCCTAGCAGTCTGTGATTCTGTGAAAGTATAGTGACTTATCAACAGAACATCAAGATATTAATGCACAATTCTGTTTCATCCTATTTTGGACCTCAGCCTCATGTCAGACCCTTGCAATATGCTACAGTCCTTTACAAACATTAATTTCAGTCCCGTGTAGGTGCAGCGGAACTCCAGAAGCGATACTTATATACATCAGCCCAGAACTGCAGCTTTCCAGCCCACTTTATAGTACACATGGATTCAAAGTAGACCCTTCTCTGAACAGCTCTGTGGTGGCACATTAGAGACAGCGTACAGAACTGAGTTTTAGGGCTAGTGTAAAGCAGAATTACACGCACTTGAATGCTTGTCGCCAAAGAAAACTTTGCACTGAGCAAGCAGGAGACTCCTACTGTACTGCCAGGACATAAATTCAGTCAGCAAAAGTTTAATACCTTTATTTGCTACAGGGGAGAACTCTACAATAAGTCAAGAAAAGCTGATATACAATAGAAAAGCCAAAGTCTGCATTGTACATAAGACATGCAAAGCTAAGAAGGCAAGAGAGAAAGAGAGTATGTTCTTTCTCCTTTCTCCAACAGGGGTAGGCAAGTAGAGAAACCATCAGTGTGGAGTTTCAGTCTATTGCAGGATTTCTCACCCCTAGAAGACTCAATACATAAAAGCAAATTACAGCAAGATCTTGGAAAAAGAAGTCTCTAGTTCTCCACAAAAGGACAGTGTTGGTTCTCTTTGTTCAAGTCACTCCAAGTACAGTTCCCCGATTTGAGGCTCCTGCTCAAATCCACTGTCACTTCCTTCTTCTCCCCAAAGTTTTCTCCCAGTGCATGCCTCTTAACCTAGAAAAATAAAAAAAAACCCCAAACACAGTGCAAAACACAAATTGACTGAGGATTAGTTAATTCTCATTGGAACACGTAGCCCCTTTTCAGGCCATTCAGCTTCAGCTCTCTTGTGACAATGCCTAAGAGTGATAGACTTCTTTCAATATCCTCAAGAGAAAGTATGCACTGAAATGGTCAACATCATGGTAAGGCCAAAGACACAACCATTGAAGAAGACTTGGAGTAATCTATGGAAACGATTGACCCACAGAAAGACACTTAAGTAAATCACCAGGCTCTACAGGCCTATGAAGCCACAGTTCCAAACTGCAGCCCTACAAAACAAAGAAACTGAAGGACTCAAGGCTTTTTTTCAGCCTATTCTCCCTCTCACAGCAGGACTCATTAAGCTTTACCTGGCGAGGGGTAGGAGCACTGGGGGAATTATCATCTTGTAGGATGCTGAGAGGAGAGCGCCCAGTTCCACCAGATGTTGCCAAGACTTTGTTGTTAGCCTTGCGTCTTACAGGTTTGCTTCCTAGTGACAGAAGGAAAACTTGTCACAATGAGACGTCAGCCCTGGGTTTTAAATGCCTCCTGCTCTTTATGACCTGGCTTGCTTGCCCGCACAGCGAAGATTGTTACCCAAGGACTTCCAGGTAAAAGGATCACAGAAATGCTGAGGTTGGAAGGGAGCTCTGGAGAACCATCTGGTCCAACCACCCCGCTCCACCAGGACCACCTAGAGCCAGTTGCCCAAGACCACATCCAGATGGCTTTTGAGTATCTCCAGGAGTGGAGATTCTCTGAGTCTTCTGGGCAACCCGCTCCATTGCTGCCCACAGTGAAAAAAGTGTTTCCCAATGTTCAGATGGACCCTCCTGCGCTCCAGTTTGCGCTCATTGCCTCTGCCCCTCTCCCTAGGTGCCCCTGGAGAGAGTCAGGCTCTTCCTTCAGGTGTCTATGCGCACTAATAAGGCCCCCTGAACCCTCTCAGCTGTAGGCTGAAGGCTCCTGGCTCTCAGCCTCTTGCCGTAGCACAGACACACAGCAAGGAGTTTCCCGAAGCACGGCCTGCATTGCAGGCTCTCGGCACCACCCACTCGCAGCGCTGGGGCGCCCGGCAGCACGCCGGCCTGCCCAAGGCACGGCATGGCGCCCACCT